ACCAATCAATGAACCAATCACGGGCCGCCTACTACAGACCAATCAATAAACCAATCACAGGCCGCCTACCACAGACCAATCAATGAACCAATACGTTTTATAGTCGGTGTTCTAATCGCGTGTTTGTGAACGTGCTAACGTGTTTCTTAACGTGTGTTTCTTAACGCGTGTTTATTAACACACGTTTATTAACGTGTGTTTAATAACCCGTTTATTAACATGTTCATCGACTCGTGTCTTTTGACCCGTTTTTATTAATGCTAGTCTATTCACATGTTTGTTCACATGTTTATTAACGCTTGTTTATTCACATGTATATTAATGCTTGTTTATTCACGTGTTTATTAACGCTTGTTTGTTCACGTGTTTGTTCACACGTTTATTCACGTGTTTGTTCACGTGTTTGTTCACGTGTTTGTTCACGTGTTTGTTCACATGTTTATTCTCATGTTTATTCTCATGTTTATTCACGTTTATTAACTTGTTTATTAACGCTTGTTTATTAATTAACATGTTTGTTCACATGTTTATTAACATGTTTGTTCACATGTTTATTCACTTGTTTATTAACGCTTGTTTATTAACATGTTTATTAATGCTTGTTTTATTAAGCTAAGAGTAAACAGACTTCAAACACTAAGAGGTAACGCTGTGGTGTGAAGGAATTATTCCACATCTCATATGTAACATATAAACATCGTACTGATTAATAATAAAATGATCTAATAATATAAACTTATTACTGATTCATAATATATTAATAAATGTTGATGTCTTTAGAAAGTGGACAACGTCTCCACATCAGAGATCAGGTTGGACATATCGCTGCAGACAGAGGACCAATCAGACGAAGACAAAGAGAATGAGCCTGAAGACCACGATGATGATGAAGATAATAATGATGATGATGGAGGAGGATGGATCACTCCTGGTAACATCAAACAGGTGAAGATGGACTCTGCTGATTGGACGGCTCCTGCTGATGTCCAAGTGGGATGTCTGACCACCGACTTCGCCATGCAGGTAACTGTAGGTCCAGGTCACCTGTAGGTCCAGGTCACCTGTAGGTCTTTCTGTTAGAAGGTTCATTCATGGAGTAGATCTGCTTTATTATATAGAAACACGTTTTTTAATAAACATATTCATTAACACATTTATTAACATATTTAATAAAGTGTTTATTGACACGTTTATTAACACGTTTATTAACGCGTGTTTATTATCATATTAAACAAAGAAAAGCATAAAATGCTTGAAATATGACTCCTATAATCGGTTATTGATTAATGCTTTAATCTGATCCTCTGTCGTTCCAGAACGTTCTCATTCAGATCGGTCTTCATGTTCTGTCTGTTAACGGGATGCTGATCAAACAGGCGAGGAACTACATCCTGAGATGTCACGCCTGCTTCAGGTGAGTCCAATTCACCTGAGACCAGAACCTAGTGTTGATAGAACCCTGAGGACCAGAGAGTCTCTGGACCAGAGACCAGAACCTAGTGTTGATAGAATCCTGAGGACCAGAGAGTCTCTGGACCAGGTCTTTAATGTGGATGTGGTCTAACTTTCAGGACCACCAGCATCATGAACAAAGTGTTCTGTCCTCACTGTGGAAACCCAACTCTGAAGAAACTCGCTGTGACGGTCGGAGAGGACGGAAATACCAAGATGCACTTCTCTAAGAACCCCAAAGTCCTGAACCCAAGAGGGCTGAGGGTGAGACACACACGCACACACACACACTCTCTCCTGTAGCACTAGATATTCATATAAAAACTAAATAAATGCAGTAAAAAGACATGTAGTGAAGTATAAAGTAGCAGTAGATGGGACAGTACATCAGACCTGTACTAGAGCGTGACCCTTTGCCTTGGCCTCATGGAGGTAAACACCGTAACAAACCTCAGCTGGTAGAGGACCAGTAGACTGTAGTACTTGTACCTGATGTACCATATGTCTCATGTGTTCCAGCACCCTCTACCTCGGCCTCATGGAGGTAAACACAGCAACAACCCTCAGCTGGTGGAGGACCAGAGCTTCCCCCAGCAGAGACTGTCCCGTAAAGCCCGTCAGAAGACCGATGTCCTGGACCCGGACTACGAGGCCGGAGGGTCCCCCTTCTGCCAGAATGACGTCTACAGCCGAGCCGCCAACCTGCAGATCAGAGACGGGCGCTGCGGTGGCGGCAAGAGGCGGAGCAACCCAAACTCCGCCCACAAGAAGTTTGTGAAGAAGAAGTGAGCGATTGATTTGGACTCCTGAAGACCAGGACCTGGAGGACCTCCAGGTCCAAACTGAAGAACGAAGAAAATACAGAACGGTCCTTTAAACAGAAACTTGTCACATTAATAAGGTTTATGTATCGAATCTACTATAATAAATATGATCTCATGACTTCTCTTTATTTTAATGTAAAGACACATTCATGACTTATTTATAATATTTAATCCATAAAAGAACATTTGAAGAACAAACGTGAAACAGGAAACTGTTTCTGATCCAGACATATTCATTATTCATATATTTATTCTTCATATATTTATTATTAGATTGATTAATGTCAAACACAAGTCAGTTTCCACGGTAATGTTTTATTATTATTTTTTAATAAACTTTAGATTTCTGAACACTTTGAATAAAGATTAAAGGTCCTTCAGTCCACAGAGAAGTCTTCTTCTTCTTCTTCCTCGTCTCCTCTCGTCTCTTCTTCTGGTTCCTCAGAGTCTCTGAGAGCGGACTGGACAGACTCCGGGTCCAGCCCTCCTGACTCCGGTCCTGGGTCCTGGATCTGGGTCTC